TAGTACTAAACACGTTTTCTCAAGTGATTTGATTGGCTCATCCAAAATGCACGAGCATGGCGTTCCTGCACGTGCAATATTCAGGTATAAACGCAGAACTCGTGTTATACCTTCATTGAGCCATGGAGTTCGATAAGGATGGAGACGAGCTGTTGTCTCAAATTGACATTGAGGACCGAAAAGACTTTAAACGTACATCTAGTCAAGAGCAACGGCGCTTTAGTGAACCTGTGACTGGTGAATTTATCGAAGCTTTGCATCAAAATCGGATTCCTCAAAATACACATCGGAATACTAAATGGTGTGTAAACATCTACGACTTAATGAAGATTTTCAAAAGTGTCCTTGTATCTGATATCAGGACACTTTTCGACAAAGAGTCCTGATATCGATAATTAACAGGACACTTTTATGAATGGTTGCCCCGGGCAACGAGGTGTTAGTGGGATGTAAAATACACTTATAATCAAGACATACCACAAACACTTTGCTAATTATGTATGGTCCTATACATCCGATATTTAACTTTAAATTAATATGAATTTCATTATAAGCTTACAAATACCGACTGACAAACATAGATCTTCTGAATCACATTTTATTTTTCCTACTTTAATAACTTTTGTGTGCCAAATCACGAAATATACCAACATTTTCCTTCCTATCACTGACGTCTTCATAAAAATCTCCTACCTAAGGCAGCTCTTCACAGTTGGCCTTCCTCTTACACTGTGTTATGTCATCTGACATCGAATGTCAGATAAATCAACTGCGTTGGAACAAACTATCGCATTATAAAAGTCTCTGCTATTAGGTTGGCAATAGGACAATAGTTACTTTATGCCAACCTGACGCAAATAGCGTGACTTCCATTGTCAGCTTGCATAAACAACCTTAAACGGTCATCTGTAAAGCGGAACAAAATAGTTCATCAAAGTGAGTGAGTATGGTTTTACGCCGCTTTTAGCAATGTCCAGGCAATATCACGTCAGGGTGTTCATCAAAGGGAGAAGTTACATATCCATTTGTATGCTCAACATGTGACAGAGGAATATCTTGTGTTAAAACAAATAGATTCAAGTAATACAATATGAAAATATGTCCTAATATGAACTACCTAAGGTGTTAACAAAACAGTACCTATTAAATAGGCGTCAAAACCCTTTCTACATTCAAAAGAGTTCTCTGCTAAAATCAGAGTGGGTTGTACAATTGTGACTGTATCATGAGCATATATTTGTTTCAGCACTATTACAGTGTAACACATGTACAAATTCAGAACGTGGAAATGGGCGACACGATTAACGTAACATTGTAAGTTGTTGTTCACTGATCAGGAGTAGGACTGCAACGATTCACCCAAACCTCGATTCGATTCGATTTTCGATATTAGATCCTCGATTCGATCATTTTCCATTGGATTCTTCATACAGGTAAAATATCAGATTTCATTTAGCTCTCAGAGTTGGCCTTTTTAGCGTGAAATCCATCGTCAACTTGGCGATATCTACTAACAACAATTCTCATTGGATAATAATCAACCAATCACGTTTCGCATTATTTCAGCGCTCGAAACTGCTCGAGTTGGAGTCAAATTTACGTTCTGGCTGTGTGGAAATAATTTAAATAAGTATTACAATATCGAATCGAACTAGTGATAATGGTTATCGAAAATCGAAACTAAGGTGTCAGATTTGATTTTCGGTAAATCGAACCGACTCGTTGTAGTCCTAGACACGAGGGGGGCATGAGTTGATGTACCCTCTATGTTTGTTTATGTTCTCTGTGTCAACCTATAGGCCCAGAGGGAACTGTGTACAGCGTATTTATCTTACCGAACACCTCAATGTTAATTTTGAACTGTTTGAAGCACGGGTACCGGATCATAATAAGGTGCACCAGGGTTAAGCAATTAGCCAATACCGACCATCGCTAGATTTTCAGATGACATAGAACCTAGCAGACGACAAGAAAAATTTAGAGTAACCTCCCTTCCACCTATTTGCATTCGCTAAACATCATACTTGACTCAGTTATTCGAGATAAAGAGATTGCTAACACGAAGTACCAAAGGAATTCCCATAGTTTGGCATTCCCAGTTGGTAACATAGAAAACGTGTGTCGTTTGTAAGCGGGGCACATTGAAAATAATGAAAGAGGGGTCAGCCAATCAGAAAACGACATTTATGTGTGAAGTAAGATAAGAGACGTTGTTCAGGAACCGGTGCTAATTAAAAGTGTTACTTATCAATGATGAATGAATGATCATCAGAAACTTGTGTTTAACAGAATGTTCGGTAAATATATAGACTGCTTTTGGCTGTTACTCATCTACTCAAAGATCAAGTCCTCAATTTTATCAATGTTGATGTCACTTCTCTTGTTTACTAGCATGGTTCGAAGCCAGTATATTCCCCAACTATGTGGCTTCTCTCAATGCATGACAAAACACCGAGGTCGAGATCACCAGGTCGAAACGAAACAAAGCTTCTACATTTATTCGTGCTACTGGTTATTCCCAGGAGGGGCGGAAGTGGCAGTCTAGTGGTTAAAGCGTCCGCTCGTCAGGCGATTCCCCAAAGGGGTATAATGTGTGAAGCCCATTTCTGGTTTCCCCTGCCGTGATATTGCTGGAATAGTGCTAAAGGCGGCGTAAAACCAAACTCACTCACACACTCACTATTCACAGGAACGTGGAAGAAGTCCGTCAGTGTTTATGTCATTTCAAGAATACAGACGCGTGATGAACGAAGGAGCAGGAAATGATTTTAATGATACATCATTGAACGTCAGTTTTGCGGTGTGTGACCGTCCACTCGTCCAACGTGAAATGTGCATGTCGTGTTAACTTCACATTTAAAAAATGTGTACAGTTAACAAACGCCGTCAAATGTGTTCTGAAGGTGGCAAACTATACTGCTCCTTACATCCCACTAACTGGCCAGTTTTCCAGACAATCCTTTACGTGATGGCAATTTTGGCACATACTCTACCACATCCACCATCTTTCCCGTTTCGTAAAATACATGACATAGAAATTAAGATATCAGTAGCATCCTTTAAGTTGGTTTCATGCTACTTGAACACAATCATTACAAAACTGTTTACATATTTATTGCACACATACGATGTATACAAAATTGTTGAAAAGAAATATTTTCTTATATACAAAACACTGAAAAATGACACATATTTACTGAATCGTACCACAAATTAAACAAATGGAAACTTCACTCAAAATTTCTACAAAACAGGTATAGTAATGGTCATAAATATATTTTTCAAAAACTGTTGCTATGACAACCATATAGAATTCTAACGAATTATAATATATAATTCTAACATGTTCAACATATTTGACTAAAACAATTGCTGCGAAGAAGCATGTGAAGTTTCAGCTTCACTGGTTCAGAGGATTCGGATGATAGAATGTACATGATGCACAAAAAACAAGCAGGAAATAACCTAACCTCACTTCCTGTCAGGTACAGTTATAACACCACTTAATCAATCTGCATTTGGTATTTAAAAGGCCTCAGGCCTATATTACATTACACAATATTTACAACTGAGCCGCAGAATAACATATGTCAAGTATTTACAGATTACAGATTTAAAACAGAATGTGTTAATAATGCAAAGGAATCTTAGCTTATGTTTGAAAAATGACAACACACTTGTGTTGAACTTCAGAAACCTTCAATTAACCTCTTGAACAACAAATACGCTTTAATGTTCGCGTGACATTCTTCACATGGCTTCGAGTGCCGTATGCTCGCTAACACTGACAGTCGGTCGGGGAACTGGTGTTGGAATCTTCATAAGCCTATGATTTTCAATCTTCAAATCGTAATCCACTACATTTATCATAGCCAGATATGAATTTTCTTGGATCAAAGCACTGACAGTACCGTAACCACGGCCATCAATCCGGATACGATCGCCCACACATGACGCCATGTTTGTTTACATTGTGAACGTAGTCCCTAAAATTTGCATATGACCTCTCTAATTTGCATCCATATCTGCATATGACCCCAACTGATACCGAAACTATCCGTTGGCTTTATCCTGCCGAGAATGCTATCCATTGTATGATAAATAAATATATTATGGAATTATCAATCGTTTTGATTGTTCTCATCATTATAATATATTGTTCAATGTAATCAACAAACATTGGCACCTTGGTACTTTAAGTAATAACTTTGGCTTCAGTAATTACTTTAACGGTTCAATTGCTTTATCAATCATAACATTTAAGCTAATTATTAACCTCTATCTAGCACAAGGGTTCTATTTTCCTCATTACTGAAATAGTTTCTACGTTTTCTTTGCATCATTAAAACATTACATTTCAATGAATTTTGTAAAAGCTTCTTGTTTTAAAACGCTGCAAGACTCAGTTCTGCCATGGCCACCTGAAAGTCGGGAGACTTCGACAGACAAACCATTGATTGTGAACACCATTTATATCATAAGAGTATGATGGCAAGAAATAAGCAAAGGAACCGATTTTGATCACCCGATGCGTTAAAGTCGCCTATTAAAACAAAAGGTAGCTAGATTCCAAAGTCTGTCTCGGAATACAAACAGCATTTAATACGTATAATGGTCATGCAATGTGCGTGTATATATTAAGCAGGTGTTGTAAGATCTTACAATTTACTGCTTTAAGACGGAGATGTAACAAGAGTTATCACAAGTTCATACTACATGATGGAATCTTTTGTTTGGGACGCGAATACCCTGAGACATGTCCCGTAACAGATAATATGGAATTCTCCGAAAGGCTGAAAGAACAGGTGCATGACTGAGGCATGGATATTAGGCTTGTCCCGGAATGGTACAAGTTGGTAAGGAATGTTGTGGAATCCAGTAAATCTCTTTGTGATCATATATGGTGCATTCGTCGACCAGGACACAGTTTCCCTGGCCGATGTATTTGGTTTCACTGGAAACCATTTTATGGTGGGAATTGAACGTGTTAGTTTTTTTACCGTCTTTCTCTTTCCTCCTTTCACCCTCTTAGAAACAAGGCAGCGATTGCTAGGCTTACCACTAGCACAACGAAACCCACAACAACCGAAGCCACTGCAGCAAACAGACCAGCCTAAAAGAAAAGAAAAGGATTGATGTTTGATTTGTTTTCTACATACATAATGTGTTTCCAGAATCCCAGACAACACCTTTTTAATCATACGGATTTGCTGTAAGGAACACCAAAATGTTTCTTGACGTGCTGGCAGTTCTGAAAGGTAAAGTGTTATGACTTCAAGGGGAATAGTTTAGCATCTCTTCTTAATGAAGAATGAGTGAGTTGCGTTTTCAGCAGTTTTCCAGTAATATCACGCCTGAGGATACCAGAGCTGTACCCCACAAATCGTACCCAAACCGAAGAACATGTACGTCTTAGAAGAGATATTTGCAAATAGGTCCTATGGCGAAAACCCATACGCGAACAGAAATCATAGTTTAAAAGCAGACGTTGTAGCAAGGCAGGAGTACTGCAAAAGTTCTTTAATTCTTTAGCGATCAGTTCATATCAATTGTACTACTATTTTACCATTTATAGCAATCTGTTTGGCAACAGAGAAATTGACCATCTATGGTTTTGATATTTTATATCAAGATACAACGGAACAATTTGCTAAATACCTTCCCTACCTGACTACCAGACTTTTTTTTATTTATGTGTAGGCTTTACACTTCAATATCGAAGTTAGATATCCCTTCACAACAATACCTTCCAGAATTTGCTACCAGTAAATACGTCTTTTGTATATGTGACCAGTGGCAAAATAAATAGTTGTCTGCTCAGATCTAAACGTAATTTAACGTAATTTAGACCAAAAAACCTGGCAAAGGAACAGGTGGACAAACACAAACCTGATAACTTTTTTTTATGCCATACCGGCACCACATAGCAAAGTGTTCACAGTTCTCATAGAGCAGGTTATATCCAACTTCTCCAACTTTGGATAATGCTCTTTCTACTATCTTAGATGGTTCCAAGGATCTGGAAACAACAGAACAACAATGTGATCATTTGGAAATCAATTCCTTGGTATTAATGGAAGCGATGGCCTAACATCAACAACTGGATAAAAGCATTGTTCAGGATTACAAAATGAACCGTTCTCCCAGGATTGTTACAGGGAGTAACTTTCACTTTATTGACAGGATCAATTATAGATGTGGCACCGTGCTACAGATGGAATAAATTACTACTGAATTAAACAACAAAGAAAACTTACTTTAATTTCTCTTCCTTTGGGTTGTTCTTGTATGCTTTGCTGTCTCCAGCGACTTTCCACAAATCCTCTTTGCAAACGATTCCTTTATCAGACTTTACTCCAGAAATCGTACATGGGTGCTTCAGGTCACTTCCACCTGCACCATCCACTCCAGACAAGTGCACGACATCGCCGTTACCTTAATAACCCACGACAATTATGTATATATTATTAATATAAGATACGTAATGCAATTTTGTCAGAAATAACCGAATACTCTATATGCAATCTCTTTATTAATTTCATGATATGATTTTGCGTTAAAGTACTGATGTTTATGAATTAATCTTTTAGTAATGGTATCTGCAAGTAAATATAGGATCTACATATTCAAACTTTTTTGTGCCTCAGAGTTTTAATATTTACACCTGGACACATATAGTTCTGAATCTCACAAATCGTGGAGCTATGGCTTCTCTGTAGTTCAACGGCATATATCATATCTTATGACGAGTTTCTGTAAAAAGTCGAGTCTGGACCAGACCATCCAGTGATTGGCATTATGAGAATGTACTAACCAAGTCAGTAGGCATGACCACCCGATCCCGTTAGTCGCCTCTTACCACAAGCATGGGTTGCTGAAGACCAATTCTAACCCGGATCTTCACAGGTAGGACATATGTATTGTGATATCCATTCAATTGCGAAATACTAGATTAGCATCTTCATTGTGCAGATCTCAAAACGTCCGGCATGTTGTGATGTAAATCTATGTACGTATTTTGAATACCAACAATTCCATGGATCCATGCTCGTGATTTCAACCACTGGATAGGCTGATCCAGCCGTGGTTATTTACAGCCCACTGTCATATACCTCGAATATTGCTGACACGGCATTCAACAAAGAAACAAGCAGAACATCAGAAGAGTTTACATTAATATTTTGTCACACTACACTTACCAACATACACAGCCCAGTGACTGTACACTCCTCGCTTAAATTCCAACATGTCACCTGGTTCCAAGTTGTCAAGTACTGTCTGGTTGTGTCTCTCAAGTAGTAGGGGCGTCATTTTTATTACTCTTTATCTATACTTTTTAGTGAACTGTGTGTCCAGTTATTGTTTTTTTCTGAAACGCCAAGAGAAAATGCAGAATATTATTCTTCTCACACTAGCATGCAAACACAAAGTCATAATCGAGGAGCCCCACAATCAATCACTAGAAAATGAACTTGCCCATTACCATAAATGGAAACATTACAAGGTCAAATCACAAAAAAGGCGAAAACGCAACTGATTTCAGTATAAATATTGCTAATATCACATAAATACCCAGTTTGACGTTGTCAGTTTCAACATATTTCCTTTGCCTTACACCCATACAGCCAGGTTCCATTTCCAAACACTGATGTTTAAGTGAAAATACACTTTCTATTTAGGACAACAACTCATCATCCCGTTAGGCTCATACAGATTGATAACATCTTTTCTTCGGGAAAATTGGAACCTTCGAAAAATGTTTTATCAACATATACCGTCAAGCTGAAGACCGGGGTCCGATTCCCCACATGGGTACTAAGTGTGAAGCCCATTTCTGCTGTCCCCGTTGTGATATTGTTGAAATATTGCTAAACGTGGTGTAAAACTAAACTCACTCGCTATAAATATATACTGTGTATACACCTGTAAGAAACAGTCAGCGAAGCAGTGACCTCCTATAGTTTGGCATGGAATGCATATGAACCCGGTGGACCCAATCGATCTCAAACTGTGCAAGTGGATGTTTTCTCCAACCTAATCACATTGTAAATCACCGATTGTATGCATTTGTATTAAAGAATCTGTCTATGTAACTGTCAACAAAATAAACAGCAGAACGCAGACTGCTTGCAGAGGGAGGGAGCCAATGACCTGTAACAGCGGCAGTGTTGGGTCATAAAGGTCAACGTTCGTCAATGTAGGTCAGCTATGCACGTGACAGGTATGAAGAGGTGTCACAGGTCGTGAAGATGGGTGCCAACTCTTAACCATCATACGGAGTTTGTTTCTCTGAGTTGTTCAACATTAACCACAAAACCCACTAGTGAGAATTATTCTGTAGGTTAAAATGTTTAAATTTGTAATGTTAATGTCATAGTTTGTTTATGCAGTACCTAAATGCATTTAAAGAACACAGAAAGTATATTTACACTAAATCATTAATCGGACCACCTATGGCTAGAACTCAACAACTGTTAAAGCCCCGTTCCCTCGGACACAAGCACACACAATCATGCACACTCATTGAAGAAAAGATAGAATGAAGAGAAAAGTGTTATGTTTTGATGTCGTTCACATTCCAAATGAAGCAATGCATTTCTAATAGCTTTAAGCATATAGATAGTTAATATTTTTATTTTCACGATAATTTTATATGTGAAATGAGTGTTTCATGTTACACTATAAGTCGTTGGAATTAGTCAGTGCTGTCATTGTTAAAAAAAGTTATATTTCTTTGAGCATATCTGGCTGGATACTATTATTATCTGTAAATATAATCACAGTATTAAACTTCATCAAGTTCACTCCATTCTTCCACAGAGGAGTCATCAGTGTCCAGACGAATGACAACTGGATTAACTGTTTGCCATCTTTGAGCCAGTACTCTTTCTCCACCTTCTTGATATTTCAACACATGCATGCCAGCGTGCAATGTCAATGTCACATATAGCAGTGTTGACAATGTGCTTGACATCATTCAACTTGAATGATTGATTTTTCCGGGCCACTGTACTTTTAAGGTCTCCCCAGATAAGTTCGATTGGGTTGAGATCACAGTGGTACGGTGGTAATCTTAAGATATTATGGCCGTGTTGGTGCAGAATGTTGTCAATGTTATATGTGGGTGGAGGTTTGTTAGGTTTAATCAACTGTGGTTTAGTGGCCTTAATTGAAAATTGTATATTGTTATTTGTTGCATATTTGACTTCTTTGTATTGGAAGTTGGGCACCTATTGTTCGGAGTTCATTTCTGTATGATAGTCCCAACCATCTGTGCTCTTTGACCGTAATACCAGATCACACCCAGGTAGGAATCCATGGTGGGAACCAGCATGAAGAACGATCGAACGTTCACCTTTGCCTGTTGGTATTTTCCTACCATCACTGGGATCAGTGGGTAGCCACTGTCTGGCAGCAGTATGGTTTGCATTGACCCAGGTCTCATCCAGATATATGGGTTCGAACCCATCCTCTCTTGCCTGCTTAATTTCTCTCAGATATTTACACCTTACTTTCACTATATCAGATCCCTCACACATAACAAGTTTCTGGTTTGCTACCTTCTTGTACTTGTATTTAAATTTGAGCAGTAGTTTGCTTAGCAAAAATCTAGAAACATTAATGTCGTGATCCTCTGCAAGGATGTGTTTTAACTTTCTTGTGGACAGGTGTTCATTTCTAGCAAATAGCCGGCGAATGACATCACTGATGACCCTGATGTCAAAAGAATCTAACTTTGGATGCCTACCTTTTTGTACAAGGTTTTGTTTATTGGTTGTTGGTTTATATTTCACAATTTTTAGCACGATGTTCTTTTTCATGCCAAGAGCAAAAGTTGTACGTTTCATGTAATCCGACACCTTATAAATCGGTTTGCTACGTTTGCTCTCTTTTTTTTAAAAATCAACACATTTCTAATTAAACGTTTAGCATCATCTGAATAAGCTTTCATGATGACAGCTAGAAGTAGTCAATGTGAATGATACAAACGGTCTATCACTGTGCAGTGCACAGGTAACTATCATGACCTTCACGTGCATTGACCTTTATGACCCAACACTGCCGCTGTTACAGGTCATTGGCTACCTCCCTCTGCAAGCAGTCTGCGTTCTGCTGTTTATTTTGTTTATTGTTCTTTAATAGAAATGCATACAATCGGTGATTTACAATGTGCTTAGGTTGTCTGACAAAACATCCACTTGCACAGTGTGAGATCGATTGGGTCATTGGATGAAGAGATTTAAAAAAAAAAGGGGTCCACATGCATTTCATGCCAAACTATAGTGTGTGATTTCACGGATATTACTCAATGTACGTGAACCTGTGAACTAGCATATTTCTATATTAAAAAGAAATGGAATATTTATGACGTGAATCTATTTGTGTACATGTTGACACTCGAGCATGTCTTATCAAGTCTAAACTGAAAGTAAAAGATATTGTGTTTGCTTTGGTTTATTGTGTGTTTTAAGCATATTTTTATTCAACTAAAATTGAATAGGGATCGGTGAACAAACTATAAGCTTATGTGAACACCTCTCCCTTGCAAAAACAAATAATAATTGCATAGTTTGGCTGTTAGTCATGTATAAGCTATACATAGTCCATGGGAAATGAGGTATGTCGACATCATAAATTGAGAGTAAGTAATCATTGTCCTGAGAAAAGGGCGTCAAATCTGCCTGATTTTACAACATACAAATGGACTTGTGACTATGTTCGAATATTCTGTATAACAAACAATTTTTGAATGTGTATGAAACATTTGTTCTTACTTTTATGCTGCTTTGAGATACCATTATCAGTACTTGTGGATTGATCAAACTAGCCTGCTACCCGTGTTTGTGAGGAATTACATCCTATATTAAACACACATATCATCGTATCCCAACTGCGTTGATCGATGCTCATGCTGTTGATTACCGGATTGTATGGTCCTGATAATTTACAGACCGTCGCCATACAGCTGGAATATTCCTGAGTGCAGCGTTAAACAACAAACATCCCGTATTACACAGTAAGAATACTCAAATCAATAATATAGTCACTCACAGCCCATTTGCAACAGCTGTGGTGTTAATATCGTCACTCACCTGTCTCCCTGTTGTGTATGTTTGTTTTCTTTCCAATGACCCCAATACAACTGTTGTGAGCCATTCAGCGCACAGACCCTCGTGTCTTTGCGAGGATTAAAGATTTAAAAAAAATTCTTTTTGAGATGACCCCCGACTCAAAATGCTTCACAGTACAATACATCATGACAAGACCTCGGTGTACCCCACCCGGCTGCTTTGCCGATCAAAGTGTTCGGCCTTGTCATGATATCTTGTACTGTGAAGTATTTCGAGTCGAGGGTCATCTCAAATTCTTATATATATGTTTTTAAATCTTTAATCCTCGCAAAGAGACGAGGGCCTGTGAATCAGCGCAGCCGT